CCATTCTGTTTCGGTACTTTCTAGGTCCACAGAGCCATGGATAGAGTGTCTAGTCCTTCTTCTTAGACAAACCCTGAAATGTAGTCATAAAGACCAAGAAGTTGTGGCCTCTATTTTGGCCGCAGTCTTATTTCTATGTATACATGTGGTCTGATCTTGTTTTCGCAACAGACGTGTTGTCAAGACGACTCACTGGAAGACAACTTATCCGACGTCCTCTGCTATAATTGGACCGTGGACTTGATACATTCCAAGACGTTTCGCGAGCGTCTCTTTGGCGAGTTGTATAATGTATCTGAGAATGGCAATACTAACTGACAATACCGGCTACGATGTTGGCGAAGTGTATGGGAATGTACCCAGTCCACGGTCCAACGTTGCGTCCGACACGACCGAGTGGCGAAGACGAGGCCGAATCACTTTAAACTCTGCTTAAACTGATTTTACCTATTTTTAACGGACAAATTTGGACTTTTTTTGTCCATTGTTTAAGTTAAAAAAGGATTTCTGGGATTCGCCAGACACATATCTTGGTTTCACATGATCAACGAAAAAAGGTTTATGGCCTTGCTAGTCTGACATTGGCTGTCTATTTTTGTTCGTCTGCTTTTCCCTATGATAGCCATTTGGGAGCAGTCTTCTATGCTCAACTGGCGGTGTCTAATTAGAATGGACTTCAAGAGGGAGAAACAAAGAAAAATTAAGGGCTTTATGGCGATTTGGAAAGAAGCCTGTCGAGCCACAATGGGAAGAATGGTGTCTGTCGGAAACAAGTCACAAAGGCAGCCAGGCTATTAGACTCCGTCGTAAAAAAATACAGACGAGAATTGTGATTTCCATTGCGAATGGACGATTTTTTCAATCTTTTTAGCTTCAATAGGAAATTATTGCCCAAGATAGACCTGATCAGAAAAGCATTTCGACTCCATTTTTACTTTTATTTTAAGTAAGAAATACTTGTTAAATTGAATTGATCAAGGCAGACGTGGGTATATGATGTAATAAAGTGGTACTTTTACCTCGAACCCTTTCAATGCTATAATCACTGTTTTTTAATTTTAGAATATATTCCATTTCCTCTCAGAAAGGCAGCCTCCCGTCATCATGCCAGATCAAATTCGCAAGCCTTCTGGCTCCACAGGCCCGGTAAGACTATGGAATCGTATTATTCTAATAATTATTATAATATATACAAAGAAAAAGCAGATTTCGAAGAATCTCCTGAAATACGATTTTTGTGAAGATTTTCATTTTGCATCAAAGTGCATGATGAAGCGATTCATAGGCCAATCTCACCAGAAGACGTCTGCCGATTTGCGTTGTTCTGCCGCCGTTCGGCATTAACACGACGTCCTGGTTGATGCGGTCCACGAGATGTCTTCCAACGTTTCGAGCGAAGACGGACTGGGCTTTCGTTCGTCATGTCACATGACGAACATCGTCAGAGCCGAGAATCATTCTTGCAAAAGCTTCAAGTTAACACGCAGTCAAGAAGATTCGCGTCAGCACAACGTGAATGAGCCAGCGTCTTCTGGTGAGATTGATCTACGAATCTCTTCATCATGTACTTCCGTGCCAAATGTTATAGTGGCTTAGATTCAATTCGATTCTTTAGCATCAGCCATCAGGAATGTATGAAGGTTGCGTGCAACTTATAAACGTTTACCGGGCACGTCAAAATCACACTTTTGCTTCTCTGCTAAGAACATTTCGCAACACCGAAAAGAGTCAATTCGTTTCTCCTTATGGGTTTTATGACAATACAGCCGAGTCTATTTAAATGTATTCCTTTCTGACCGTCTTTATGACACAGTGTACTTCAATTTTTTAAGAGATTATAATTAATTCAGGCGAAAAATACAGATAATTTTGCCTCCTCCTCCAATGACTTGCAATTCATTTTTGCCAGTTCTATTCTTTCCTGTTAATTGGTTGCGATCCCTCTAAGCCTAACCTGCATACCATTTAGTTTGGAGACACGGTAATGATCCCTCGTGAAATGGTAGCTGTGAAGGAGATGGCCAAAAAGGATGGAATCTCCTAGACATTTTCCATTGTGCTTAGTTAACGAAGTTTTCCAACTTAGACAGGACCACTTTAGCCTCTACAAGCGATTCGAAAATTTATCAGATGTGTGTTGAGGTAAAGTTCTCTTGTCGTCAGACCATTCGGCCCCGAAGACAAAGAGTCAGGGTCATGCTTAACTTCCAGATTAAGCAGCTCGGATGCCTGCAGTTGCACAGAGTTTTTCTAATTAAGTATTGTTTTTGTGACTACCAGTAAATCATTAATATGAAATGTATGCACCTGATTTCGTTTAAGCTGATAAAGGACTGGTAGAAGAAGAATTTTCCCACAATGGTATGAGTTGAGCTGCCGTTTTCATTGAATTTCACACAGCTTTGCTTTCGCAAAAGTTATTCTCATCCCAGCCGGAGTGGACTGCAGTTTCGACCTCGCATCGGTCTTGTCAACACCCTCAGCGGGAGTCGAACCGCGACGGTGCATGACG